GGGAGAGAGGCTGGTGACGCCATATAGCCCCAGCAGCTGAGTGTGTCATAAGGTTCCTATGACGCCCGTAATCTCGGGGAGCAAGGACAGCGATGGCATGAGATGCAGTTTTCGTAAAACCGACCGGCGTTGGCCACTGCAAGTAACGCCAGGCGGCGGGTGCCGCGCGCGCAATAATGGCCGTCGTAAAATCGTGTTTCTGAATGTCTTTCAAAATTAATTGGTGCAGTTCAAAGATAGCACTGGGAAAATCTTCTTTACAACTTTGAGGTCGTCTTCTGGGCATATTAACAATTACAGCAGCGTGTAAAATAAAGATTGTACGTTTGTTCTTCCAGTTCCAAAACCAGGTTCCAGCACCACTTCACGGTGCTGTAAAGACCAATACGTTATTGTCATCAATCTAAAAACCGCACGGGTGAAATATACGCCCGGGCTTCGTATGATGTGGTGTTCAAAAGCGTTCAAAGGTACTTATTTCAAATGCGTCATCATTTTGCATACCCTTTGGCCACAGCCTAATGTTCGCCGCGGGCCCAAAACGGGCTGAGGAGACTGCAACGCCTGTCGTCGGGGTTTTTGTTGCTAAGCTATGCAAGAATGCATGCTCATAACTACGTTCATGATTTGCATCACTAATCGATTCTGACTGAATGTTGAGCATATTCAGACAAATATGACTCGACCATGCTAATACAAATTATTGACCCATTTTGATCTTCAACCTACATTCGCCCAAGTCCTTGCTATCTCTGTATAGCCCAGATAAGAATTATCACAGCCTGTGAGTTCTGAGTTTGAATGAGTCCGCTGGATCATTATAAAATGAAGAGCGCTGGTGAGTTATTCTGAGTAGTCATTTAACGCACGACTTTTCAGCTTGTTTAATGAAAAGTTAAGGCAGAATTAACATTTCGGTAGCGTCTACATGATATATATATATATATATATATATATATATATATATATATATTCATATATACAAGAAATATGCATCTAAATTCTAAAAAGCATGTCCTTATTAACAAATGAACCATACCCGGCGATGTGGGGGGACAAATGGCTCCCTAATAGTAAAACTATCAGGAAGCCATTTGTCCACCCTGTGCCCCCTCCCCCTTGCCAAGGCTGTGGCTGCGCCCCTGAAGGCCGATACTGAAGATACAGAGCCACTCAGAGCCACATGACAACGACGTATTTCCTGTGCGCTGCTGTCATGCTCTTTGCTAATTGAGGCTGGCGTAACCAGTCCGGATGGCTCTCATAAAAAAGGAGTGGTACCTGCAAGACGTTGTGGGAGGTACGACTGGGTGCGGTCGTCACACGTTTCTCCTAAAGGCTGTTGCGAAACACTGCGTGCTCGGCGAAGACCGCATGGGATCCCAACCAGAAAATAACCGTGGGTACAATACCCGTGTGTCCTCCTTAAGGGCAAAGATGCTACCTGGGCGATGCTAAGGATGAGAGCTTTCTGTACTAGTGGGAAGGCGGTTTAGTCATACGCTTTTACCCATCACCCGGATGAAGCCGAACGCCTCGTGTGACCGAGCCTGCCGTGTCGAAATGAAAGGGAACTAACATCGCAAACGTGTGTCCAAGGTCCTTAAGACCGCAATCTTGTCACCAATGTTGAGTAGGCATGAATAGATGTGGAAAGATAACTGCGTCGTGAGTGACCGTGGGAATGGGAAGGAATGTATGTAGCAGAATGAAAGAGCTAAGTCCGTAGGGGTCAGTGGGAGGAATGACAACTCAGCATGGGCACTGCAGATGGGCGAATTATAATCGCATTTAAAAATCAGCTAATGCTGAACACGAAGACAGACTGAGGGGAAAAGGCGAGATACCCAGCGGGGCGTTTGAAACCCAAGTCGTGTCAGGCGGGGGTAGCAGTGGAAGAACCACTGCACGAATTCTCTCGATATCATTGTCCTCATCTCAACCTCAAACTCCACCCTGAGCAGTAAAGTATGTATGTGTCTCACCAGGAATTGCCCAACCTCACATCTGTGTATAGTTCTGGAGGGAGCACGGGGTGCAGCACAGTACTGAGTGCAATTTTCTTGCAGGACGACCAGTTTACATGAACATATGAGGATTCCACTTGAATGTGAGGCAAAAGGGCACAAACGTAACGAAGGAGTGTAGTATTGTAGAACCGCCTGCAGTTTTCTTGCAAGGAACAAGAGCGTCTGAATAAAAGTTTTGGAAATTGTAAGGTATTGCAAAATGTTGCAAATGCGGCTTCCGGCAAAAACAGAGTAAGTTAGCGCACCAGAACCAGTTTTAATGGTCTCCCTAGGCAAAGACCTCCTACAAGAAGATTTTGAAATGTGCTGCAAAGTTTGCAAAATTGTGCAAAAGTGCTTAACGGCCTCAAACAACATTTATTGATCTCCCAAGACAGACGTGCTCTTATGAGAGGATTGTGGAATATATTGTGAAATTTTCAGAATGTAACAAAAAAATTGAGTAAAACAAAGCACTCGGGGACCCTAAGACCACCTGAATTCTTCTCGCGTCGTCCGAAAGCCCAAAAGAAGCAATTAAGGAAAAACTGCAACATTGCAAGCCATGTTGCACACAGCCTCACCCCGCTGCAGTGGTTCAGTACCAGCCATCCTGAACCTTACTCTAAAATTAGCGCTCCCTTGTTCATTTGTGCGCACCGCCTGTCAGGCAAGTGTACTCTAATAATGGAAATATTACTAGACTTGAAACATTTTGCCTCCACATGCTGAGTTTATCCCAAAAAGTTACATAAACCAAGCCCACAATGGATTTTTTCACGGGTGATGTCCCGACAAAATATCACGAAATCTGTGATAACCTCCTACTGGGACACGAAACTCGAAAGTGGCAATGTTCGATGCCGTAAATGCGCGTTTTAAGACGAACCGCGTGGCGTATTTATTCCGGTAGATGCAAAAATTCCTGAAAGCTCCGAAAGCGTAAGATGTACGATTGTTTAGGAATAGGACTGTTGATCTGGCGTAATGGGTCAACTATCGACATAGCAACATACAAAATTTGATCAATCGTGAGGTCAGGTTACTGCTCCCCACAAGGGTCATGTGAGGTCAGGTCACTGCTCGCCCACAAGGGTCATGTGTGGTCAGGTTACTGCTCGCCCACGAGGGTCATGTGTGGGCAGGTTACCGCTCCCCTACAAGGGTCATGTGAGGTCAGGTTACTGCTCCCCCCAGGGGTCATGTGTGGTCAGGTTACTATTCAAAGTTGGTGTTCCAGTAGCCTACAAGAACGGTACTTTTTCACAATGTGCCCACGACTAAGCTGATAGTATTAAATGCCAGTCTGGGAGAAGAGTACCTTGGACACATAATTACCATGTTAGGCTAACCTAAAGATCACCTCTGGTCACGTTAAGTCACATTTATTAACCAAAATCAGAACAACAACTTTAGTACTAAGCGGGTCTAAATAACCGGTTCGGCGCTTTTCCCTCGTCAGTAATACTGTGTTGTATATCTACAGGCACTAAACCGCATGGCTGTTCTAAACATTACGCATATTCCCTTTGACGCTTGGCAACATATT